TATATAAACATACATGTTTAGATATTTGTAAGGAAAAAGAAGATAAACATACTGAGGAAGAAAATACATTTATTGCTGTGAAGCGTTCCAAATCAGTCACTTATAAGATCCCATGATGGTTAGGATGCTGCCTTAGAATGCAGCTCACTAGGTTTTGGAACAGATCCATTGTCAGAGGTGTGCCCTGGTCAGTAGTGCACATAGCACAATGATGACCTGGCTTTGCGTCTTGGGTCATTTCCCGATCCCACGCCTTCTCCTTCCCACCATTTCCTGTCGCTTTAGGGCTGTCCTATCAAATAAAAGGCAAAAAGCCACAAAAACATAGAAAATCATTGATGTGTTAAGCTACACTGAAATTTTAGAGTCATATAAATAACAGGGTCGGATCTCGTAACACTTTATCACTTCATCAGAGTGCTGACAGTGGCTGTTCCCCAAGTTCCCCAACTTTTTCCCAAGGATGCTAGTAGAGAAAAACACACCAAAAGAGAAGTTTATCTACTGCCCTCTGATGAGTTAATGGTGACCCTGCTGAGGTTAACCACACCTGCGGCTCACAGCATTTTAGATTCCTGTGGCCAGCGTCTAGAGATGTTCCTTAATCCCCGTCTGCACACATAACACATATGTCCGCTTTCTTGCATGCCTGTTCTGCAGATCACTAAAATCTGAACTAAAACAAAAACATTTGTTTTTTGTTTTTTTACAGGGAAGGCGGCTTATTTTTGCAAACAGTGTCCAAAATTCATGTTTTGCCAGCCATACATATTTCTTACCAGTCACAAAAAAAAATGTATTTTGCATAATTTTTTATTTAGAAATAAATTATTGTTCTCATAAAGAGTGAAAAATTGAAGGGGGTCTGAATACTTTCCGTACCCACTGTATGTATGTATATATGACTATATACTGTATATATATGACTTCTTGACTATATATAATACTTCTTAAGATTAAGACCAAGTAAACCCAACCAGTATCGTTATCGAAAAACTTTTACTCTTCCTTCTGATCACACTACAAAAAAGTGAAGTTCTTTCTCAGCATTTGTCTTGTTTCCCAGTGCAAATGTCATTAAGATGTCTTGTTTTCTGAGAAATTGATCAGAATTAAGTGAAGTATTAAAACAAGATCAAATATCTGCCAATGGGCTCAGAAAAATCTACTTAATTCAATGGGAAAACAGGTTTTCATACCCCTTTGGCAGATGTTTGTTCTGGTTTTAAACAAACTCACTTAATTTTGTTCAAATTCATTTTGCATCTCAAGTGTGACGATTTAAGGTTATTTAGATGTTTGCATTGGAAAAGAACAGAAAAATACTGAGTAATACATGCATTTTTTTGCAGTGCATGCAACATTTTTGCCATGACTTTATGATTTTAAAAGTACTGCTCTGAATTAAGACCTTTTTATGCCTTAATTTGTCAAAGGAATGGGGATTAAATGATAATGATAATGTTCAAAAATTATCCAAAGAACAAGTCTTAAAAAGCCATGCATTGTGTTGCAAATCATTATAAAGTTGCTGAGTAACATTTTTCAAGTCACTTCAGCCAAATGTTACTTACATTTAGTGCTTGGCGAGTGTTAATTTTGGACGCTGTTTTGCGTATTTTTGTCACTTTTCAATTTTTGCATTTACATACTTCTATATTTGAACTACACTGCTTTTTGTCATTATAAACGTGTGTTTTATGGTGTCAAGCAAAGAGATTGAATGCTTAAACTGTTTTTTTTTTTTTTTGTAAGTGAGTCAATTGTAACCACTACAACTGTTTGTTTTCTTCAGTTTATCCTCTTCCTCTGTTATATTCTGTCCCTCCATCTCTCGAATCTGTCCTGGCCGGGCAATGTGCAAATGCATTATGGATCATGCGATGTGACTGTTTAGCTGACTCACGTAATTGTAGTTTCCTTGCAAATCTTCTCCATTCTAAATGCAGATCCGCCAACGTTTTTCGTAGTGGAAACCCAGCCGTCCGCTGATGAGGAAGGTGAGTGTCAATGAAGCCTTTAAATGCCGTGTAGGTCAAGCGCTCACTAGGGTTTGAGACAGAACTAATGCTTTGTGCATTCGTGTGTGTGTGTTTTAGACATCATCTCTCAGTACCCCACACTCTGGACAGAACAGGTCCGCAGCCGACAAAACAGGACAAGAACACAATGTGAGTTACCGACAAACATCTGTTGTCACTTTTCAACACAAAATGCTAACAGAGCCAGACTGGTTTTGGTATTTAGGAGAAGACAGAAAATTGTAAAATGCTAAAATGTCAGTGGACTTTGCAGTTTGAGTATCAACTTTGTCTCTTGATGTGTCTGCTGAAATAAGAAACAGTCAAACGAGACACCTGTTGACATACAGAATGATTATAGAGCTTTAAAGAGGACATCAGATGCAAAATTCACTTTTACATGGTGTTTGCATATAAATGTGTGGACACAACCAACCTACAATGAAAAAATTCATTCCTTTTTTTAATCCCTAAAAAACCTAAACAGTCTCAATTAATGTCCCCTTTAAAACTAATAGGAATAGTATAGATCAGATATCTTGAAACTGAAAGAATTGTATGAGAATTGTCATATTGAGTTCATATTCAGATCTCAAACCTTTTCGCAGACTTTTTGTGACATTTTAGATGCAAGGCCCTTAAACAGAAGTCTCCATCTGTTCTCAATTTAATCTCATTACTGTCTAGGAGAAACAATTGAGCAATTAAAGAAATCTGATTTTGTAATTTCCTTTTTTATGGCCAATGGATAGTTCAGATCATCTGATCTTTGAAGAATTTAATGAGAAATGATTGAGTGCATGATAAATACCTACATTTTAATTATGGTGTCTTGTCAAAGATCTATTCTGAAACTAAAGGAACCACATGGAAAATTACTAGGAGAAACATCTTAGAAGCTGGAGATCATTTAGTGTCATTTTTACTATCATTTGCATACTATTATAATATTTATTAATATTTTGAATTAGCTTTTATTTTTTTAATTTCAGTTTTCATTTAAAATTTTGTTCTAATTTTGTTATGTTTTTGTCATTTTTATTAGTTTATATATATATTTATATAGTTTAGTTTTAGTTTACATTTATGTTTGTTCTGTTCTGTTTAGCCTGGGGGGGTTATCGCTGCTCTCCCTGCTCTCATCCATGCTAAGCTGCATGGTTGCACAGGGAGTTCTTGCCCAGAACAGAACCATACCGCCAATCCAAACTGTATGCTAATTGTCAATCATCTTTGACGATAGTGGTCCTGACAGAATTACAGTTTTAGTTATAGTAATTTTAGTGTTTATCCTATTTCTTTTGATTAGCTGCCAGTGTAGCATTACTAATTTGCAATTTTTTTAATCTATTTTTTTATTTTATTTTTTGTTATTTTTATTATTCTATTTTATTTTCAATTATAGTTTATTTTTTGTTTGTTTGTTTTAGGGCTAGTTTTAGGAAACTAGGAAACAGTTGAGATATTTTACCTTATTTTTATTTATTTTATTTTATTTATTTATTTATTTTGTATGGGAATAGAAAGAGAAAGCAAAAAAGACAGATGCTTATCTGTAAGTATTATGAACTGAAGCACATATGTGAAGATCCAGCTCACTGTGGCACTCAGCCATTGCCTGACATGTTGATCTAATGAAGGAATCAACAAAGACGTCATTAAAACCCATCTGGGAAAAAATGACGACATGAACTCAGTAAAAAATCGAATTCTGATGACATTATTACAGAGTTTGTGTGTTTCTGAATAGACTCGTTTTTGTGTGTGTGTCTGTGTGTGTGTGTGTGTGTGAATAGCTTGATTGTAAAGACCTCTTGATTTACAATCAATAAAACGTCAGTGCAGTGCAGTGAACGCTGATGGTTTTGATTACGGCTGATTCGTTGAGGTCTGAAGGGTGATTAGCACTATTCAGAGATGCTCAGAATAGAATTGAACGAAAGACAGAGGCAAAGAAAAGATGTCTCTGGGTTAAAAAAAAATAAGAAGAGAAAAACCCATGGCAACATTTTCTAAAACAATGCTCACATGAAGCCAAACACCTGACAACACCACAGAGAAATAGAGAGGGTAACTATAAACGGATGTGGGAGAGAGAATACCTTAGCAAACGCACTGCACTAAATACCACTCAAAACAGCTTAGCAACACCCTGGACATCCTAGCAACCACCCTGAAAACCTTAGCAACTGCATAGAAATGCACTTAAAAACACTCAGATCAGCTTAGCAACAGTGCAGAAACAGGGCTGCATGACTTTAAATGCATTTTTGTGATATATTTCAGTATATAGAGTAGTATATGTAATATCAGATACTAGTATTATAATATTACAGCACTAATATTTAACGCTTTAAAATAACTGATTTTATTGATCACTGACATCCATATCTAGAAGCCCACTTTCCTAATAAGATACAGTGTGCGTAGTTAATAGAATACACTAACATTAGACTACTTTTAGCCTGGAGTTTGTTCACCCTTCGTCTGTGACTGACAACCATATTTTGTGCTGCCACAGAATACATTAGAAACCACATATCCTCTCTCTCTCTCTCTCTCTCTCTCTCTCTCTCTCTCTCTCTCTAATTTCAATTTAAGAGTGCTTTATTGGCATGACAAAAATTATACATTTGTATTGCCAAAGCAATTGCAGCTGGACTGCTTA